CCTGTCAAATAAACAATTTTTATTTAAATATTTTACGTTATTTAAGGCACTACACCCTTAAAAGGTCATTCCTAAAAAGTTATTCCCAGATTTGAGTAATAGTAAAAAATATCAAAAAATATATATAAAAACCTCATCCTTAAACTACAATCTGTGCGTCTGAATTAAATTAATTGAATAATAAATCTAATAAAGAAAAGTGTACCATTTTCTAAAAATCGATACTCCAAAACCAATAGATAGATTTTCATAAGTTCATCTAAAAAATTATAGCTGATACATCTTTCTTTAATCTGTGTGCATAATTTTAAATTTGGCCAACACAAATTAAAATAGGCTTGGTGCGTTAACTACATATTGACATATTTAGCCCATTTCACATTTAATAGGTAACACATGTACGTCTAATTATATTCGATTTATTTATACATTATATAGTAGATATAATTACAATAAATAAATTTATTAAAAATTTATTAATTGTAGTTAATTTTTGTGACTATGAGTTATATACTAGTTTTTTGTCCACACAATTTCAGAAGTAGAAAAACAAATTAAATTGACCACTTCCAGGTGGCGTATCAAGATAAAACACACTAATTTTTAAGTCAGACTTTCAAAAGCACAATGGTGGAAATCATATCCAATTTGGTGCAGTATTTTTTGCGTGATGCCGTAACTAGCACACACATTAAACAGATAGACAAAATTTCTAAATAATATTGTTTTTACATCTATTGGTTTTATTAAAGATATTATTTTAATTATAATATCTATATATATAAAATAATTATTATATATATATAAAATAATTATTTCTGCCTACCCTACAAGGGACTCGAGGTGATATAAATTGTTGTGCATATAATTAAAAATGACAAATGCAATACGGGATACATATAGTAAAACACAACTTATTTTAACTTTGTCATAAATAATCATGCAGAACATTTGAGCATTTTGAATGTGTTTTTTTTTTAGATTTTTAAAGAAAAGGTTAAGTTTGGAAAACTGTAAAGAAATTTAAAATAAGATCTCTTTTAAAATATGTCGACTTCAATACAATTGGCCAATTGACTTGATATTATTCTAACAATCCAGGTAGGTTTTCTCCTTGGTATTGGTTTGGTACGTTAGATTTAAATATATAGAACAAAATGTAAAAATATTAGTAGTCAACAAATGTCTCTGTCAACCTTATTTAGGATTAATAAACATATATATTATATTTATATTTATCTTTACGCGCGACTTCGTCGGTCTAGCCATGATATATTGATTGGTCGGGGATAAAAAAAATAGTAAATGTTCTTCTCTATCTCAAAATACTACATCATGTAAACTAAATTTCATGACGAGTGATGTAATTATTAAAACAACAAAAGGTTACAAAAATATTATATTTATAATATTAACTAGTAACTCGCCCCGGCTTTCCTCCAGTAGATAGATAGAAATAGATATTGGTATTTAAAATTAGTACTTTATTTAGAACAATGGAAGATAACCTTTACAACAATATTAAACGTAAAAATGTTGACTCACGTCACATCATATTTCTTATTTTTAGCATTGTTATACCCATCGTAACTTTTAAACAAAGATCCGTTTGGAATAAAATAAACAGAATTTATATGTAGGTACATAATGCACCTTGATTATGCAACTATTTTGTTGGATAAGTATTACGACATGAATATCATCATTTTTCAATTTTACTTATAAACTTAGTATACGATTTATATTATAAGATTGTACCCGTCTTTTGATTGACTAATTTGAACAAAAAACGGTTAGTGTGTAACTATAATATTTAGATATGTAACATCACAAACTTATTTGTGAGTAATGATGAGTATCATATTTTATTAAATGTAGTACATAATTTTATGTATAAATTTATGTAGACAAATTTTTCATACCTTGGATTCTATTATTACAATTTTCCTAGGGGTTCTCTATTTTTTTTAAATAATATTTAGCCTATAATAATGTGTATTTGCTGATAATGTAGCTTTCCACAAATTTTATACTTGTTTGTACCTATACTATGAAAACAAAGTTGACATTCAGTTCAATAATCAATTTTTAAACACTTTCTACTACTACTAACTCTGCCCAATGAAATACTCTTTGTCATCGCAATAATTCTTAGCGGGTAGCGGAATAAGGAGCCACGCCCATACGGTCCAAGGTCAAGGACAACTTTAGCGCCTTTAAATAAGTGTATGCATACATTTTGTGGTTAAATTGAAATTTAATAATATGTGTATAATACGTTGTTTAATCACCATAACTAGTATTACAATTATTATTTATGACAAATTAAAAAAAAAAACAGAAAATACTTAATGATGAATGAATTTTAACTATTTTTAAAGTTAACTAACAACTTAAAAAGGAAGAACTGCGTAGAGATGTTGCATCTCTGTGCATTTTCTACCGAATTTATCATGGGGAGTGCTCTGAAGAATTGTTCGGATTGATACCTGCTGCAGATTTTCACCATCGTACAACCCGCCATAAACTAAAATTTCATCCCAACCATCTGGACAAGTGGCGGTCCTCCACCGTGCGTTTTTCAAGGCACTTTCTCCCACGCACAACCACTCTTTGGAATCAACTTCCAGCAGCAGTATTTCCAAACCGATACGACAACATAACCTTCAAGAAAAGAGCATATTCCTTTTTAAAAGGCCGGCAGCACACCTGCAATGCCGTAGGTGTTGTGGGTGACCATGGGCGGCGGTAGTCACTTACCATCAGGTGAGCCGCATGCTCGTTTGCCCCCCGTGTTGTAAAAAAAAAAAAGAGCTTTACCAATTCTGTACCAATTTAGATTATTATTCTTGCAATCAATAAGGTTTAATCCAATGTTATTCCCATACAATTTTGTCACGATTGAAGTAGCAATTTTTTTTTCAGAGTCCAACCTTAATAACATCTCAAAAAGTATTATCGTTATTAGAAAGTGAAGACCAACTTGGTGTATATACGATCCACTTACCACAAGTTACCGGCATTAACACGCTAGCAAACAGGAAGTAACGAGGAAAATGTCAAGACTTATTGGTCTATTCCGTAACCAGTAAATGGCGTTGACCTCTACAACTGCATCGTTTCCATAAAATATAGAAACATAAGGCACAAAAAAATTCATATTAATTATATTAGGTACTTAATTTTCAGTAAAATTAGAATATTAGAAATTCATAAGAATTCTTGGACTTATGTCCAATCTACTAAATATTAAAAAAAATGTCACTTGAAAATTATTAAACCTACAATATAGAGCTGTTAAATTTTAGGCCGTTATTGTTGACGGTCTTGCAAAGAAAAATATTCTTAATAGTTAGTAATATTTATAATACTTTCGCTAAAGTATCCATTTACAATTTAAATTTTTAAAGCAGATTTGACCTCAATATCTAAAGAATCTTTAAATATCAAATACTATTGGTGTTAGTAGTAGCTCTGACAGATGGTTAGACGGACATGAGGGTTTTTTATCGGTTTGTACAGAATTTTAATAATTCAAAAATAATTTACTGAATCGATTTAGAACGCATTGTGACTTGTTTGAAATTGATAAAATCTAAGGGACCAACCCATAAGTATATCTGTTCAGATAAAAAAGAATTTTCCAAATCGATTTATAACGGACGGAGTTATGAAGTAGCAACGATATAAAAAACACAAACGAATTGAGAACCTCCTTCTTTTGGAAGTCTGTTGGAAAGTTCTTTTCACAACCAGGTAAATAAATATAATAGAAAATAAACAAAGAGTTTTAATTAATGTAATATTAGCAATCCACTATTAAATTCACCATTGTCAACTAAAACCAATATTTAAGTATTTGTTATAAGTAATATTTACTATTAAATACACTTCAAGACAATAAATATTATGTTATGGATATAGTTTTGAGTGTAGCCTTCTCACGGAAAAGACTAAAACTAATTCAGCATTTACATATCTCCTTAGCAATTTTTTTTTTAATTACAAGCTAATAATTACAGAGTCACGTACAAAGAACATAGCAATTAGATACAACAAGTTTAACTTTTGTGTAAAAAATTCATTTTGCAACATTACTATCACCGTTTCAATATTAGAGTTTCTAACAAAGTATGGAATTGGAAAAACGATGTATAAATACAGTTATTGTTGTTATACTTTATCCATTAAATTACAATTAATACTATGGCTGTACGTTTCCTACGCACAAATATATAATAAATTAGGTTAGTGATATTACAACTATGTTCTGTATAGTCTTAACATTATCTACCCAATATATTTATTTATCGGGGAATATAGCAAGCCAGTAGCATATTTATTTTCTACTAATCGACTTAGTATGTAGTTAAATTATTCATATGGTATTTAAATATATTAGTGAGAAAAAATACGATCCACCTTAGTACACTACATACATTAAAGCAACACACCAATTGGAATAAATAAAATAATTGAATGATTTTTCAAAACCACTGTGCTGTTTTTCTCTATAAACATCAATAGTTTAACTATAAACCATAGTATACCTAAAATCTAGAAGACACGAAAAGAAACGAAAACTGTAACACATTTGTACATTCATAATCTATAAATAATAAGCACGATCTAGTAAGAACAATTAAAGAAGACTTAATTAAGAGCTCATTCGGAAAACCATATCATCTATGTATTATTGTAAAAAAGTTTTACTACTACAACAAACATCAAACACGCCAGAACAGAACACACATAGAAAATTGGAACATGTGATGAAGTGATAATATTACATCAAATATTATATTACGACGTCGTCAGCAAATGTTCACTAACTTATTATACTTTGATTAAATGACTATATTTAATTTTATCGAATGCTTTATAAACAGTTAGAGAATATCGCATTTTACACGCCGTAATACATCAATGATAGTGAAAATGTAAAAGTAAACTGTGAAACTACAGTCGAACTAATGACGTGCGCCATATCTAGCACTTACGATGCGAGGAGGCAGCCTTCTTATCCGTAGCCAGCTCGGTTTTTTTAGGAGTGTCCACGTCGCCTGCACGTTGCAGCAAAACACAAAAGCAGCATTAGAACATTGAAGTGGTCATATGTGTATCATATGGCATTTTTTTTTTTTGTGAAAACAGCGATGACGTTTGTGGACAGGACATATTGGAAAATCACATGGGACTAATAAATCGACAATACATATAATTTAGAAACTCACTGATAGTACGTCGCAATTTTTTACAGAAAGTGGAAAAACGATCGCGAGCGCGGCTCAATTGACCGCTTCTATCAGTATCAAGTAAACACAGTAGTGAAGGTTCGGAACGCGTAGTGACTTTTCCAACGGGATGCATGGCCGCCGTCGTTTGTCCATCGGACACTCCTAGGTTGTCGAAGCATACCGGCCCGGAACACTCCAGTTTAGCAAAGAGGAACGCACGCGAGCGCGCGTTGTGGTAGACTGCCGGCCGACAGCGCGGGACGTGACTTCTCCGCCCCTCCCCATGGAGGTCGACCCTCTTCACAACTCGGCGTTGTGTTAATTCAAACTTTATACCTAACTACGTCAAACATTTTAATTCAATATCTCTAAGTCTTTTTGTTTATAATAAACATTATAGAAAATTTTTACAATAATGACTAACCCTTTATATAATAATCTTTCATAAAAAATCTTGAGACAAATTAATATTAGCAGAAACGACTGATAAATGTTTTAATAATATAATTATATCAATATTATGTGTAATTTGAACACAATATACCGTTCAATCATTTTTTTAAAAAATTGTGAGTTAAATTAAGTTTAATTTACATATATTTAGAAGCACTATACTTTGGCAGTGAATTTACAGAGTAAAAAGAAATATATTTGAGTCCTCAGGAATGGTAACGCATGGGGGGGTATTATGGGCAAAACAGTATACTTTGTTATGTCCATGGTACTCATGTTTATAGGTGACGATTACCGCTTTCCATCGGGTGGGCCGTCAGCTTGATCGCCATTCTAAGTTGCATAAAAATATCCTTACAAATTCTTTATGACAGTTAATGTATTTTTCATAGAGAATTTATGAAGATAAAATGTGATTATATAAAAAAAAAAAATGTAACTCACATCAGAAAACATCAATAATATACAAACCACACAAATGAATCTCATCTTTTAAAGCGTTTCTACGATTATCCATGACATAAGATACACCAATAATTAAATTGTACACAAATTTTTTCCATCCTCGCGAAATTCAACATTATTACAGCTTTATTTTTAGTAATAGAGTAATTTTCTATTAGCTTTATAGTTCTAGAGATTGGTAAAAAATATTTTTGCAATACTTTACTACCGTGTTAGTCCAATATTAAGTCTGGTTGAAGCGGTGCAAAAATCTACTTGAAGACACATAAGTTCGCGTTTTATATTAAAATGCATTATATGACGATTAGAATATCTCGTTCATTAATTTAAATTCGACGTGTGTGCCCCAGCATAGAATGGGTCACTTCTTCCTTTCTCGTGGGTGTCGTAAAAGGCAACTAAGGGAGGGCTAAGAATGGGCACCAGCGTCCCTCTTAAAACATCTCTAAAAACCTAACTGCGGTTGACAATCCACCTACCAAGCGTGACAACTACTAGCAAAACTCCTTTTATGAGGAAGACTAATGTCCAACAGTTGACAGTTAACGACTGAAAGAATAAATTGTTATGAGTTTGAAAATATAGTTAAATATTTAAATGTTACTACCGAATGCATAACCCTGAAAGAGATGGATATATTTTAAAGAAATTTGCTACGCAAATAGACATAATTCTACATTATTTCATATGACACTAAGCTTTTTTACGCGGTCAAGCCGCGACATAGCCATTTCGAAAATCTTGAGGGTGAAAAGGTACGGTATTGTATGATTTAATTATTTAAAAAATAATATTCGTAATATTAATTTTTAATATTATTAAATATTATTTCTAAAACACATACCTCCTTATTCATAAAAACTAAAAACTTCTACAAATATATTTTATCCATTACACTTTTGTTACTTTCTTTCAAATCAAAAATTTAACTAAAAAGAAAGAGACAAAACAGTTCAATAGCTAAAACTACTATTACTACTGTTTCATACCGAAGGAAAGTTACTTAATTAAATAAAATTTAGATCATTGTAATTTTTTTTAAATCTTCAATGTTCTATCCAAAACGAATGTCGGTCACGTTCTATTAACAGAATGTACAGATGAAAACAATGCTTGAAACCATAGTAAATGTAACTTGAACCTAACTTGCTTTAGAATTATAATTTTCATTTATATAATTAAAATCCGTTGTTGGCTGTAATTATAAGAGACTTATCATTTATTTTTTAAGACCTGTGGATTTTTATATTAAATAAATAAATAACTTGAAGGTGGCGAAACTAGAGACAGGGTAAAACAAATGTCACAATAATCCATACATGAGTGAAACGCCTAATCGATCCCAATTCGATAACACCTTTATCGCGATTCGAGCATAATATAATGTAAACAAATCTAGCCCGTTGACATTTTACCAAAACAGATGGAACTTTCTTCATGTGTGATGAGATCAGGCATAGGCGATTCAAATTCAGTTAAATACAATGAGTATTATGGGTGAAATTTAACGATTAAGGAGACCGGAAACTTCGGGCTGCATAATAAAAGCAATATATCCGTTCAATGAGATGCCGATTTAATGTAAATACTGTCAATGTAAGTTCCCTACAAAGAAAAGTTTCAAGAAATGCTCGTCAACTTAAACGCCGATAAGTTAGTTCACATGCCCATTATGTGTGGCACGTTAAAAATACTCCTACTATAAACTATTATTGACATCTAAGCGATTCTTATACGACAAAATGAAGCAAAAAGATTTTGTTTAATCACTAAAGCTTTAATGAAAAGAATATAAAATATTATAGCTGCTCTCAACTAAACTGCGTGTAAATTAAATAGAATGAATTATTACAATTTTTCAGTGGACTTATTGGTGGGTGGCCGATATTTAAAAATTCGGTTGTGAATATATTATTGAAAAAATCAACACTCTGTATCATTACTTTCTGCATTAAGGTGGTCAGTAACATAAAATTAAACACGATATAGATGGCGCTAGAGTTGTGGTTTTTGTTATTTTGTCCTTGTGGTTTTTGTTATTTTATAATTAAAGATAATTTAAAACAAACTTTCTAAATTGGAGATTTAATCCTAAATTAAACATATAGAATCCAGTTTTAAAATTTGAAGCGAAATTTCTAGATTGATTTAGGATTGATTTTATTTGAAATTATAGTTTTTAAAAGACAGATTTTATACAACTATGAGTATCAAACAGTGTCATCCACAGAATTGTATCATGGCTTCTTTGTCAACAGGATCATTACCACGCCGCACGTATTCGTGTTGTTCTTTTTATACAACTGGTGATAATTTTTACATCGTGACGTCATAAACAGACTCACAAAAACAAATAACGTTACGTTTAATAACAAAAGAAGAGTAATACACGAAATTTACTCAACATACAATAACATTAGTTAATTAATGTTACAAATTTCACAACAACAATTTTATTTTACATATCAATATTTCTGTAACTGCAGAGTGCATAAAAATTACTTTATTCTTAGGCATTTAAAGATATTAAGATCTTTTAAGATTTCTACGATTGTATGAATGATAACCCTTCATTGTTAACTACAAAGAGATTTACAGTTAGATATATATAATATATAAAAAAGAGCATCACAAGTAAAATGCTAAGTAACAGTATGTAACAATTTGATCTTCTTTTTCAGAAATTTTTACGTTAGAGAAAAGTACCTATTAATTACAACTTTCCGTCTTCTTCAGTCAATCAATTACTAGGGCTTAAAAATAACTTATGTTGTCCTTCTCCATGTCAATTATTAGAATAGCAAATTTAATGATACATAGGATGAGTTGTTAAGACATCAAGATGCAACAAACAAACACATCATATAATATTTCGCTCATTTATGACACACACAAACACACACACACACACATATATATATAATAGACATTTATAGACCTTTTATATATGCATTCCTAAAACAAATGCAATCCAAGTGATTGTTAAAACCACCCTAATTACAAACTGTTGTAAAGAAAATATAAGTCCACCATGTAAAATGATATTATTTGGTATACCACACATGATTGTCCAGTAATGGAATTACTACCGCTGTAATGTGTATATATATTTATACAATTGGATTAGAACTTTTAGTGGAGTTTGTTGGCCTTTCGTCACGCGACGAGATAACCCGAGACCACGCACCTGTCATTTGATACACTTTCACTTGTTAGGTGTAGAAAACAAAAAATACTAGGTAATTTACTTATTTCCGTTTGAATGCTTCCATTCTGAAAACGTAGATGAATAATGAATAACGAATTAACGAATGAATTAATCAGTGGGAAGTGAAGTTATAGTACAAACCGATAAATCTTTAATCACACTAGAGTTAGCAGTAGTTGGCCAGTAGAAGCAATAGTTATTTGCGTTAAATGTTAAATCACGACAACCAAATGGTACACATGTCCATTTTTTCCAATCCAAATTCGAAATTAGCACCTGTTTTGCACGCGATTTTCACCAAGAAATAATATTTAATTGAGATAAAATTCTATTAGGTTCTTGTACTTATTGTACTTATACCAAATTTAATAACAACAAATCGATTCGCCCCAAATTGTATAAACAAATAAAAACAAACTCACTTTCACATATTGTATAATAATATGGATTAAGTCGTAAAGATATAGAAATAAAGGTATTGCGGTACAGGAAAATTATTGATTCTTTAAGGACGTTAAATTTCTAAACAGTGACATCAACAAAATTGCTTTAATGACCATAAAATATGACCCAATCTCCATCATCCCAATCATTTTTGCAATTATTTCAGGATATTTTTATATTTCATAGTAAATATAAATAAATATTAAATTCTGTTATTTTTCTATTTTGTCTTTTTTATTTAGATTATAATGTAATT